AACCCAAGGATCCCGGGGTTCCTGGAACTAACGCTTGAGTTTTCTTGCAGGTCCTAGTGAGGGGGAACAACCTATGGTACCTCGGCAGTGGTTGTTCGAAGCATATGACAGGAGATCAGACCAATTAAAATTCCTTTCACTAAAGGCCTATCCAGGAGGAGCTGTGACTTTCGGAGGCAACATGAAAGGAGAAATCATTGCTAAAGGCAAAATTGGAAAGTCCACCTCCCATGCAATAGAAAATGTGTTCCTGGTCGAGGGTTTGATGCACAATCTGCTCAATATATCGCAATTTCTGTGATAAAGGAAATTCGGTAAGCTTTACTTCAGATAAATGCCACATCTTCAATAACAAATCAGGAAAGGTTATTCTACAAGGAACGAGAAAAGGAAATACTTATACAGTTGACCTTGACTCAATCCCAAAGAGTAGCTTTACATGCTTGAGTGTTATTAAAGATGACTCTCTACTCTGGCACAAACGTTTTGGACATGCTAGCTATTCTTTAATTGATAAACTCAGTCAAAGGACTTGGTAGTAGGACTTCCCTCTATCAAGCTCCTGAACGATAAAATCTGTGATGCTTGCGTAAAAGGAAAGCATGTCCGCAACTCTTTCAAATCTAAAACGATGGTGAGCACAACAAAACCATTAGAATTAATTCATATGGATTTGTGTGGTCCCATGAGAGTCCAGAGTAGGAGTGGCAAGAAATATGTCTTGGTTATTGTTGATGATTACTCTAGATATACTTGGGTGATTTTTCTAACAAGTAAGGATGAAACATTTGATGAATTTTTGGTATTTGCCAAGCATGTACAGAAAACAAGTGGATTCTCTATAATTCACTTGAGATCTGACCATGGTACAAAGTTTAAAAATTCAAAGTTTGATGAGTTTTGCAGGGAACAGGGCATGAATCATAATTTCTCTGCTCCAAGAACACCTCAACAGAATGGAGTGGTCAAATGGAAGAATCGAACGCTGGAAGACATGGCAAGAATAATGTTGATTGCAAGCTTCCTACCAAGGAACTTCTGGGCAGAAGTAGTCAACACGACATGCTATATTATCAATAAAGTAACCATCAGAGCTATAACTAACAAGACTCCCTATTAGCTATTCAAGGGAAGGAAACCAAATATCTCTCACCTCAGGTCCTTTGGGTGTAAATGCTTTGTTCACAACAACGACAAGAAAAACCTAGGAAAATTCGATGAGAGAAGTGAAGAGGCAATATTCCTTGGATATGCCTCAAACAACAAGGCTTACAAAGTTTATAATAAGAACTCATTGTGTGTGGAAGAAAGCATTCATATTATTTTTGATGAATCTAACTCATTTATGAATGTGCAGGAACAAGAAAATAATGATTTCGAAATTTAGATTGATAAGTAACAGGGAAGAAGAGGACGAAGTCCAAAAGCAAACAAGAGAAGAGAAAAATGTTCCAGTGCAGAATCAACAAGAAAATGCTGAAGTTCCTCAACCAGAAACACCAGAGATCAGATCAATGAGGAACCTACAGTTGAAGAAAAAGCAGAATGAGCATAGTAAGAAGCTCCTCAAATAGGATTTCCAGCAAGGGAATTTCAACCTAAGCCATTCAAATATCAAGGTTCGTTCATATCCTACTGATCTCATCATCAGTGATATCGGTAGAGGAACTCAAACAAGATTTCAAATGAGGAACTTCTGCGCTTTCCATGCATTTCTCTCCATCATGGAGCCCCGAAACCATCAAGAAGCCCTGGAAGATGCTAACTGGATCGTAGCCATGCAAGAGGAACTAAACGAGTTTGAGAGAAACAAGGTCTGGCATCTTGAGCTTAAGCCGAAGAACAAGAAGGTTATTAGACTCAAATGGGTGTTCAAGAACAAGCTAAACGAGTATGGAACAATCATAAGGAACAAAGCTCCTTTGGTTGTGAAAGGCTACAATCAACAGGAAGGTATTGAATTCGAGGAAACCTTTGCTCCTATAGCTAGATTAGAAGCTATTAGAATTCTTATTGCTTTTGCTTCTTTCATGGGTTTCAAACTTTATCAAATGGATGTGAAATGTGCTTTTCTAAATGGTTACTTATTGGAGGATGTGTTTGTGGAACAACCTCTAGGTTTTGAAAATCCAAAATTTCCTAATCATGTTTTCAAGCTTGACAAAGCCCTTTATGGACTTAAGCAAGCACCAAGAGCCTGGTATGAAAGGGTCTCCAAGTTCCTTTTACAAAATGATTTTAAACGAGGAAAAGTGGACAAAACTTTGTTTTTAAAATCTCAAGAACTGATCTTTTAGTTGTATAGATCTATGTGGATGATATAATCTTTGGTGCGACTAACGATGTCTTGTGCAAGTACTTCGCTGAAGTCATGAGTGGTGAGTTTGAAGTGAGCATGATGGGAGAATTGAACTTCTTCCTCGGGCTACAAATCAAGCAGACCCAGAAAGGAATATCAATTCATCAACAGAAGTATGTCAAGGAACTGCTAAAAAAGTATAATCTTGATCAGGCTAAAACAAACCATACTCCTATGGGAACAGGCACAAGACTGGATGATGATCCAACGGGAACTAGTGTGGATCAAAAGATGTACAGAGGTATGATAGGTTCCTTATTATACTTAACTGCTAGTAGACCTGACATTGCTTTCAGTGTTGGATTGTGTGCGAGGTTTCAATCAAATCTTAAGGAATCTCACCTAACTGTTGTAAAGAGGATTCTAAGATACTTGAAGGGAACTGATGATTTGTGTATCTTCTATCCTAGAAGTGATTCTTTTGAGCTAAAAGGTTTTGCAGATGCAGATTATGCTAGAGACTTAGTCAATAAAAAAAGTACATCTGGTATGGTCCAGTTCCTTGGGCCATGCTTAGTTTCTTGGGGATCAAAGAAACAAAACACTTTAGCTTTGTCTATGGCTGAAGTAGAGTATGTTGCTGCAGTCGCATGTTGTTCTCAAGTGCTTTGGATTAAACAACAATTAAGAGACTTTGGTATGAAATTTGATTGCATTCCCATTTTCTATGATAACACAAGTGCTATCTGTATCTCTAAAGATCCAGTTCATCACTCTTGTGTTAAGCATATTCATATTAGACATCATTTCCTAAAGGATAATGCTGAGAAGGGCTTAATAAAATTAGAATTTTGTGAAACTACTAATCAAATTGCTGATATTTTGACTAAGCCCTTAAACAGAGAAGACATGAAATGATGAGAATGGAGCTTGGAATGATTAAGTTATGTTGAGGAAAGCCTTGATGTTCCCTCAGGTATTATCTCTAAACTAATGTACATTTTATCTCACACAAAATGATATGTTTAATTACATAGATATGGCATGAGAATTAAGCATATATTGTCTCAAAGTTGTACACAAGTAAAATGATAATTCTTGAAATCCTTGACTGATGGCATGAGCTATGTTGATTTGTTCCGCGTATCAATTTGCATGTTCACAATGCAAGTTTATCTTTTCAACAAAAATCTTGTTTGAATTAATTTTTAAATTTTTCTGTGTTTATCTCATCAAACACGGTTTGTCTGATGAATACATTCAATATTCATCTAATTTTGTTGAAGTGATCCCTTTACATGCAAAATACAATTAACTTTCAAAATTTATTCTTTTAGTTTCCCCAAGCTATAAATGCAGTGTCACATCATCATTATTCACCTCACCTACCCTTCTCCCTGAAACGACACCTCACATTTACCACCTCAATAAAAAAGGATGGGTGAGTTTAAAAATTTTACTCCACTCAGATCAATTATTAATCATCTCCATCTCTTCTCGAAGTTTTGTGTCACTTTAGATCTCAGTCAGTTAGGTATAAAAACAAAAATCTTTTTCTTTTGTTTCCTCATTGTTTTTACACTAGTTAAATATTATCGCAGTCTCTTGCTTTTACAGTTTGCCTTGTTTGTCATCATCAAAAAGGGGGAATATTGTTGCCCTTGATGTTTTGATGATAACACAAGTCAAACTTACATTTGGGACTAATGTTTTCCTTGACTGTGTAGCGTAAGTTCAAGTTACAGAGTTATTCGAGACAAAGGAACTGGAGCTCAAAAAGCAAAGACTGTTTTATGTAAGTGAAAGTTATTTGAAGTTTGATACTTTAGTAGATGCACAAAATATTTAATTAAAAGATAGAATTTAAAGGTTGCTTATTTATAGGAAACTTAGTTATGAAAAATATCTTTTTCTGATTTCTTGGTAAAAAGAATATCTTTTATTTTCGGAAAAAATATCTTTCAAAGTATTTGCAACAAACTTCCTAAACTTGCGCTACTGGTGTTTGATTAAGTCTTCTCCACTGAACGAGGAAACTGCTTCTTGTTGGTTTAACGTGTCCTTAGTTTTGGAACATGATTGAACCACCGGAAGTGGTGGAGGATAGTGGCGTTGATGTGCAGCAGTAGTGGCGTAAGTGTGGCGTTTTATTCAAGCTATGGTTTCCTATGAATATAGAAGTTGTTTTTTGGAGATCATAACCTTGCTCAATCATATTTTCTATCTTCTTAGTTTTCAAAGAGTCAAGAGTCGCATTTTACTTTAGTTGATAACTTTCTTATTTTCTTTCATTAGAGTATTTCTTTCTAAGAGCTGTAATTGGGGTTTGGGGAGTTTGAATGAACTCAAGAGAAGTCATAAGAGAAAGAGACAAAAGAGAAAGAGAAGAGAAGTGCAGTAAGTCAAGGGACTTATTGCAGGGAACTCCAAGTTCGTTGAGGAACATGGAAATAGAGTTTTTAGCTTGTAATAGGTTGATTGCCCTATTCTAGTAAAGAATCTTTCCTAAAATCCCAAGTAGTCGTGGTTTTTCTTCTTACAAGGGCCTAGAAGTTTTCCACGCTAAAATCTCTCCGTGTGACTTTGAGTTTCTTTAGCTTAGTTTTATATTTCCGCAAAAAGTTGTCTAATTCACCCCCCCCCCTTGTAGTATTCTTCTAAGGCAACACTTAAGAGTTGTGATAATAGGATTATATTCATCGGTGTTTAAACCTAATTGCTATTATTCTTGTTCACTATAACCAAATCCGATTTCAAGTCTCCTTTGTTCTTATACATTAGTCACTGATTCAATGAGTTAGGAGCAACCCACAAAAAAAAATTATTAAACTGTCGGCAAGAGGTCTCTTTAGTTCCTACGGTACATGGTAAACAACAACAAAGCCTTAGTCCCAACATACTAATCTCGAAAGTCAGAAATGGTTTGAGAAGAGTTTAAAACCGCAAACCAACCAAAAATCGCTCATAAAAATCGGTACATGTTTGCTCGTTAATGTTCTTGAACCAGGCAAGCAAGAAACAAGAGGCTTTTGAAGCCGACTGCTGATTCCCAAGGAAATGGAATGGTAATGTGGTAAGCTTCCACAGCCAGAGATTATCAACTTTCCTAAACAAGCAGTGAAACAATATTATATAAGGGCCAATTTTGGTCTGTTATGCTGATTTCTTCAGAATCTCCTCTGATGGAACTTCCAAGGTTGCCCCAGCATGATCTTTACTTGGTTTCATTTCTGCACCACGTAAGTATACCATGTTAAATGGTCACAGAAACGTAAAAAAAAGGATTCAAATTCTGTAAAGAAAAAAAAAGAATGACATGGCCATTTTTCTAACTATGCGGGGAAAAAAGACAGATTATATCAACAGCTGCAAAAAAGGATAACAAACAATCAGGACAGGCTGTCCTCTGAATATGAAACAAAGACTACACTTTAACCAATTCCTTTGAACCTCATCAAGAGTAACTCCTGAAAGCCTAATCAGTGACCTCATCCTAAAATAATTCAGAAGACATAAAAAAACTCCTGAGAAGATCCTGGGAGTTTTGCTCTAATTACACTTCCTCTCCTTACCCTTACCAAATCCTCTAAAGGGCGATCCGAAGATTCCTCATGTAGGTGCAAACAGCCTCTTCCGAAAGGTAACTCACCAAATTAGTGAAAATACATGTAAACAAGACTCACTATTAGTATGTCAAAGCAAGCACATAATTTGGAGAAAGAGTCAATCTGGGCCTTAGCAAGGAGAATGTCACCAGCGTTAATCTCTCATAGAGCTCTTACATCTAAGACACTCTTGAAACAACTTCACTAATCAAGAGATCACTGGTTTTACACTAATAAGCATACATTCTTTCATTCCTTTGCAGCCAAACACAGTAAGTAGCTTCATGACTTAAACAAAGAACAGAAGATAGTCACCGGACAGAGGGAGGGAGTAGTAACACTCATTCGATAAAGTTAATTGGGACAATCTGTTTAGAATTGAATAATAATTTTCTTCACTCAGTCCTTTGCTTTTCCTCTGTGAGATAGCAGAGGTCAATCATCTATAACTATAAACTCAAGGCTCCAACAGAAACAGCAGGAGTCAACACACAAGGGTCCCTAATCCTGCCTAAGATCAAAGTTTCCTAGAGGCATGGGTAAAGCAAACAATCCATTATGCTAAAATTTCAGAGATTATTTCCCAGTACCATATCAGCCATTTCACTCAATTGGTCGTATCCTTGCTAAATTACTGACTTTATCCTATAGGACCACATTAGATAGTTATATTTGCCAAAGCAGCAAAGATACTATTCCATTTCACCAAAAGAAGAATAAACAATTACTGATAGAATGGTGAGACTTAGTTAACTACACATTGTGAAAGCTAATTGACAGGCGTCTCCAAAGAGAGGGAGCTCCAGAAATCAGAATTAAACAAAAATCCACAATACTTCCTATTTCCTCAACTCAATGCAACTAACCTTTCTCATCCTACAACTAATAGTCTAAATTCAGTCCCCAATTGCTCAGAGGGTATATCTGTTTCAGGCCTTTCAGCAGGCTTGAAGCTTTAGAAGTTCTAATTCAGAATAAAGACAGTCATGAAATTCAAACTCATGTAACTGAATTTGAAGTTGGCTTTACTTTCCTCTGACAGTAGCCTAAATCTGAGTCATGGAGTGATATTGGAAGGACAATATACAACATGTTTAATAACCAACCCTAATAAGATTTTATAGTTGGAGCAACTTTTGCATTTATACAGTAGTTTGAATATTAGCATCAGAACCACTGAATCCAGGTGTGAATGAGTGAGAGAGGTTAAGGCCTTATCGGAGAGAGGGTAGACCAGATGAAGAAAAGGAACAGGTGCTCAGTGCTCTTATCTCCTAATCATCAGAGCACCTGACAGTATTCAGTTTTCCCTACAAATCCGAATCATATCAAACATATGTGTTCTATATGCGGCTCCCAAAAATTTACCAAACAGCTTCGACATTGCGGATATATTTTCCAAATTTGCTACTCAGGGCAGCAGTTTACCTAAGTTACTAATCAAGTAAATACTCTTAATAGTCCCTATATTCCATCCTTTCTAACCAGATGGCCAGAAAACGCCACATCTGCTAGAAACTGGCCCTGTTTAGCATCTAAGTGCACGACCAGAAATTCTAAATGAGTAGAGTTAACTTATCAAGAGTCAACTGTGCATCTATATCAAACACAAATTAAAACCAAGCAGATGATTACATGAAAGTTTTGCAACCCAGCAAAATGCCAGGATCTTAGTAGATCAAAAAAATAAATTTCATCAAATGACTTAACTTTCTACTTCTAAATTGCGTTATACATACTTTCAACTAAACCATATACCCAATCCCCATTCAATAGAGCAAATCAAAATACGAAAATACAGACTAGAAAAATCAGATTTTTCAATTAGATAGCAATCAAATAGCAGGCATTCAACTAGCACGCGGTATTATCCACAAATTTTCCACCATCTTCATTAAGACAATTCGTCAAACAGTTGGCAGGCAATCTAATCTCATCACAAAACACAATAAATCACCTTCACGTCTCTCAATTTCAAACTTCGGGCATAAACCCATCATTCCAACAAAGCATAAAATCCCAAAAAAAATATCTGGGAAAAGGCGGAATTTCTCCCAACAACACAAAAATCCCAAAAAAATAAGAACAAAATTGGAACGAAAAGAAATTACCATAGCCACCACGTTCATTGAGCTTGGCTTGGACGATCATGGTGGAGATGAAATGGGAAGCTTCATGAGCTTCATCAATGAGTCTCTGAATATCGTCTTTGGAATTGACGTTTTTGTTCTCCTCGAATTTGGAGCGAACTTCCATGGCAGAAGCTTTAAGCATCTGGGTATCTCCTGCAAATGATTTACGAGTTGCCTTCAAAACTTCTCTGTAAACTTTAAGCACCTCTGTTCTCATCATCTCTCCTACGTTTTCTCTGAAACTTTGATCGTTGATTTCTTGGTTTTGTGGTTGAAGGGGATGAGCAGTGTTAGAAGGTGGAGGATTGGAGATTTGGAGGTTGCTCGAATAGTAGAATGTGACCCGGCAAAATTAACTCGAATCGAATGACCCGGTTAAGGATCGAGATGTGACCCGTCAGTAATTGACACAGTTTGATTAGACCATTTTTTTTTTTTTTTTTTTTTTGTGTTTAGAGAATCACGAGGGCTAGTGATGAGAATCGATCCCATAATCACCTAGAACCAGGAGGGGAAGTCTAACCACTTGAGCTATCCCTTACTCTCAGACACATCACATATGTCAACATACGGTTGGTACGAATTCTCTCTCTATTCCTATTTTTTTTTTTCATCACTTGACTTTTCATAGTCTCCAAGACGCGTCAAATAACGTATTTATCATCGTTTTCATATATGTAAAAATTATAAAAACGTGATGAGATGAATCTAACAAGATCTCACACAACTATAATATCTCTTATTAATTAACAGTAATTTATGATAAAAGTTTTCAAAATTTGACACACAAAAGGGCAATGAGGCAAAAATAAAGGGACAGAGGGAGTATATGTTAGACAAGTAATATATGAAAATATATATCTCCTTACCTATACCTTATTAAAAATTTAACCAAACTTTTTGAATAGTGGTACGCCAACTATATCCCTAAAAATGGTAATTTACATATATACCCCATTTATGCATGCGAATCACAATATTAATCACATAAGATAAAACTTGATGATATTTTTTCTTATATATACACAATTAGACATGATCAAAATTTTAACACTTTAACCTTGTGAATAGTAAATGGGTAAACTCAGGAAAACAGAGGTTTAAATAGGTATTAATATAAAGCTTTATAGTGTTCTCAATATATATATATATATATATATATAACTTTATAGTATTAATTTTTTTTATATATTTTTATAATTATTTAATTATATAAATTTAAGGTCAAACTAGTGCATATGTCAAGTATGAATGTGTCAATTATTTAGGAATATATATAGAGAGTAAAATGGATAAAAGGGTATTAGAAGTCGGTTTGGTTATTTATGTTAAGTGTGTATATTTATAATGTTTATCTTGTTAGGAGTTTTAGGCAAGCTAGGTCACTTATGAATTGTGTATATATATTCTCGTGAATATCAATACAAGGGTTAAGCCATTTTCTCCAATATTTCTTGAGTTTAACATGGTATCACAGCCTCTGTAATTTCTAGAGAATTTTTTTTTCGATCCTGGTTTGTTCATCAATTTACTTTTATTGTGTAAGATTAGGACTTCAATTTTTTGTTTTTTTTCTTTAATTTCCCGCAAATGTTGGTTTTGTCTAAATTAGGGTTTAATCCTTAATTCTGTTTTTTTTTTTTTTGTCATTCGTGGTGTTGTGCGCTGTGTGTTGCAGTGTATTGTTGCGTGGTGCTGCTATTGCGTGTGTGAGGTGCGTAAGGGTTGTGTTGGGTGTGTGGTGCTGCGCCGTTGTCGTATTGTGCTGCGTGTGGTGCTGTGCGTAGGTCTAGTGCGCTGCTTGTTGTGGAGTGGTGTGCTGCGTGGTGTGTGGTTTGCGGTGTGTTCTAGGTTGCGTGTGTAGCCTGTTGTTGCTGTTGTCTTGCTGTTGCGTGACAGTGGGTGTGTGCGCTACTTGTGTGTAGCGTGTGGTGTGTGGTGTGTTAAGTTGTTGTTGCTTGTGATTTGTTACAATGGATGAGAATGGTGGATCGAAGTATGAACCGTTTACTAAATACTACATACACCCTAGTGAAGGATCTCAGTTGATCTTTTGTCTTGTGTTGCTCACCATTGACAATTATGAAGAGTGGTCTTGGTCTATCCGCTACAATCTTCGTTCCAAGAGCAAGCTTGGTTTTGTTGACGTCATGATCAAGAAGCCGGCTGCTGAATCTGCAGATTATCATCAGTGGGGTATTGTTAATTCTACTGTTGTTTCTTAGATTTATAATACTCTTGATGCTAGTATTCGTTCTACTGTTATTATTCCTGATGATGCTAAAACCTTGTGGGATGATTTGCGTGATCGTTATTCTCTTGGTAATGGTCCCCGTATTTTCGAGATTAAGCATGCTATTTCTGATTGTAAGCAGAATGGTCGGTCTGTTGCAGTTTATTATGGTGAATTGAATAAATTCTAGAATTTGTTGTCTAGTTATATGAAATTGCCTGATTGTACTTGTTCCGCTGCGAAAGAGTATGCTAACTTGCATGAAGTTGAGATGTTGCATCAGTTTTTTCTTGGTTTGGAGCCAAAGAAGTTTGGTTCAACTTTGTTGATGAGTGATCCTTTGCCGTCTATGAATGCTGCTTATGCTAAGGTTGTTGCTGATGAGCGTAAGCAGTCTGTGTCTGAGGCTCATGAGGCTTCTACATCTGCGACTATTGGTTTTAATGCAACAGGTACTGCTTCCGGTCGGACTTCGAAACAGAAGGAGTGTACTTATTGTAAGAAGTTTGGTCATTATAGGGACCATTGCTATTGTGAGGAGGGTGTGGCCGTCGTTAGGGATCCTTTTCCTCTATGCCCATGACCCTTTAAAGCCTAGGACTTTACACTTTTTAAGGTGTGTTAGGATTTGAATCCCTGACTGTTTGGGGACCTTGAATTAGAATTGATTATATCATTACGCTTTTTTGTAAGAAATTAATAAAGAGTCGCCAATGAGTTTTAGGAAAACTCATAAACCTCGTTCATGCCTTTCTCCCAAGTAGAGTTCAAGGGATATTTAGCATGAATCATAAGTTTACCCATGCCCAAATTGGTCTACATGTACCAGAATGAGTCCGGGAGCGAGGGTACTAAAATAACGTTCCCTTTAGGGGGGAATCGCTATCCTAGCCCAAGTGCGGCCTCTACTAGCTCTATCACCAAACAATATATGCAACACCTAGTTGATTTTATTTACACGCGGCAATCACATAAAGATTACATTGCAACGATTGTCATTATTCTTATTTATTCCAAATTCGTAAAAAGAACAATAAATAAACAACATTCGCCTTGACTTAGGTGATAAAACAATCAATTTATTATTCGATTCTAGTCTTTAGTTAACGCAAGAATATTATGTGAAATAATTAATTAAGTTTATTTTAAGTGATCAAACAACACTAATTAATTAATTAAAGTCATTTAGGATAAGAAAACTAATGTGATTTATCTAAGTGCTCGGGAATTTACCACTTTTCCTTGCTAGATCTTCGTTTAGAACACTTGTGGACTCCTTCTTCTACGGGAACCTTCACTGTAAAAGCAAAATAATTAAAAGGGTGAGTGTTTAGGACAAAAGGGTTGATTAGTTCACAAAGATGTTACTGTTGACTTTAGGCTGATTTTTCTTTCTCTTCAAAGCTCGTATTGAACCTCCATTTATAGGGAATGGGTGAGTTTAGGGTTTTGGAGATTTTGCCGCAGCAGGTGGCGCGCGCAACTCAGGAGGTTGCGCCCGGCTGCTGCGTGCAAGTGATTGGGTTGCGTTGCTAGAGGCAGCGCAACCTCTGGTCTTACGCGTGGCTTTATGGTAAGATTCGATTCAGTATATTTTTGAAATTCTGAATCTTCCGCAAGTGCATCTCTAGGGGTTACGCTGGATGCTGCGCGCAACCTGGTGAGTTGCGCGCGCCAGGCCAGCGCGCGGATTTTCCTACTACAACCCTAGATTTTAACCTAGACACTCTAAATCCGTCCGAAATTAGGTTTAATCTCGGGATTAGGCCTAATTTATGATCGGGCTTAGTGTTAATGAGCTTTGGTTCATTCCATTTGGGTCAAGCTAGTTAGTTTTATGTGTTTAAGCCTTAATCAGTAGTCCATAAGCATTCCTTACTCCAATCAAGCACAGAGATGGAGTTATTTATCGTCATAGAACTTCCGGTCAGGACAGGGGACCAAAAGTAGATGTCTACAACTATAATCTACACGAGTTTCCTGATGGGGGTCGTGGTGGTCGTGGTAGTTGTGGAGGTCGTGGTGGTCGGTCGTTTGGCAAAGGCAAGGGTGAGTTTGCTGGTGCTGTTGGTAGCTCTCGAGGTTCTAATGAGCAGGTTTCTGATTCTGATCGTGGGAGTGTTCCGATGATTTCTGATGCTCAATGGATGGAAATCATGGCTGTGGTAAAGGGGTCAAAGTCGGGCTCTTCGTCGGATGGAAACAAACTTGGTACGTATAATTCTATTGAGTGGCTCATTGACACTGGAGCTTCAAATCATATGTCTTGTAATATTGATCTTTTCACTGATTTGCATGATATATCTTCGCCTGTTGGTTATCCCAATGGAAAGAGCACGACAACTACGAAAGAAGGAAAAGTTATTTTGTCTGATGGTTTAACTCTTTATAATGTTTTATATGTTCCTGCTCTTAAATGCAACTTGTTATCTGTGTCTTAGTTGTTAGATAATAATGCTATTTTATTATGTTCACTGACAAGCTATGCATTATTCAGGACCGCAGTTTGAAGAACCTGATTAGAGCGGGGGAGCAGTATGATGGGGTCTATATTTTCCATCTAGTTCGTGCTCAGAATCTGCAGGCGAACAAAGTGGTTATTTCAAATGCAAGTGTGTTATGGCATAGGTGTCTCGGGCATCCGTCAATGCAAGTTGTGAGCTATCTTCAGGGAGTTTCTAATAGTCGTTGTACTCATAATAGTACCTCTAGTTGTTCTTTTAATTGTGACATGTGTTTTATGGGGAAGCAACCCCGAAACTCAATTCCGTTAAGTTTGAATAAAGCATCTGAAATTTTTGATCTAATTCATTGTGATATTTGGGGTCAAACAAGATTACTTCTAGTTGTGATGCTCGTTATTTTCTAACCATTGTTGATGATTTTCCTCGTGCTACTTGGGTGTTTCTAATGGTTGGTAAATATGAAGCTTCAATTCACAGTTGATCCGTGAGTTTTGTGCTATGGCTAAGACTCAATTTGGCCGGAAAGTGAAGGTGGTTCGTAGTGATAATGGCCAAGAGTTTCTCAGTTTGAGGTCTTTCTTTGCTAAGAAGGGCTTTCTGCATCAAACGTCGTGTGTTAACACGGCTCAGCAAAATAGCAGAGGTGAACGCAAACATCGTCATATTTTAAATGTGGCTCGTGCTCTTCGGTTTCAAGCAAAGTTGCCCAAGTATTTTTGGGGTGAGTGTGTTATGACTGTTGTTCATTTGATTAATAAGACACCTACTCCTGTTCTAAATGGAAAAACTCGGCATGAGTGTTTATTTGGTCAAAAACCGTCTTATGACAGTCTTCGAGTTTTTGGTTGTCTGTGGTATGCTGCAAATTGTCCTCGAGTGAAGGATAAGCTTGACTCTCGGTCTCGTAAATGCATATTTTTTTGGTTATCTGAATGGCAAAAAAGGGTGACGTGTCTATGATTTAGAGACGAATGAGTTTTTTGTAAGTAGAGACGTCAAATTTATTGCAGATGAGTTTCCGTATCTTGCCTCGCTTACGGATGAAAATCGTCGGTTTTGGGAAAGTTACTTTGTGTCACCACCAGTGTAGGATAATGTAGATGATGTTGAATTAGTGACGCAAAAGGTTAAAAGTGGGGAACCGAACAGTGCAGTCCACCCCACAACCAGCCTGCTGCGGGAGCAGTTGCCCAGCCGCAACCAGGTTGCGGAGTAAACTGCCCAGTCGAGCAGTACAGTCCACCCCACAATCAGGCTATGGGAGCAAGTGCCCAGCCGCAACCAGGTTGCGGAGAACACTGCCCTGCCTTCCCAGCCCCCTGTTTTGTTTGCTGACCAAGAGTAGGACCAGCAGCATACTGCCTCTGCTCTGCCCGCTAGAAATCAAGCAGCCGTAGGCCAGCAGCATAGCACATCGCAGCCTGCAGCCAAGCAGCCCAGCAGCAGCGTGAGCAGTCCGCATTTGCTTGGGGGCTTGCCACATCGTTTGTCTAGCGATGGTGATTTGGTTGGTGCCTTGGGTTCTCGCTATAGTAGTGTGATTGAGCAAGAAATTCTCGATGAAAATGTTGTTATTACGCCGTTGAATTTGAGGGGGAGTTCTTCTTCGTCGGAGGAGGAACTTGGTCCTGGTCATCTTGAGAAACGTCAACCTTCGTGGCATCGCCATTATGTCACAAATACTGTTATCACTGAAAATATAAACCCCACTACATCAACTGTCGTCCCTCCTCAATCTTGTTCTTGAGCTTTCCCTATAGCTTCTCATGTTGAATATAATCGTTTTTCTGTGAGACACAAGTATTTTTTGGCGACGATCACTAAGGGAAAGGAACCATCATCATTTAAAGAGGTAGTTAAAGACGTTGGTTAGCATAAGGTGATGCAAGATGAGATTGACGCTCTAGAGCATAATGGCATGTGGACCGTTGAGGATCTTCCTCTTGGAAAAAGGGCGATTGGTAGTGGTTGGGTGTATAAAATTAAGTACACCGACAAGTCAAAGGTAGAGTGTCTCAAGGCTCGTTTGGTTGTTCATGGCAATCGACAGGTTGCCGGTGTTGATTATAATGAGACGTGTGCTCCTACTGCAAAGATGGGTACAGTACATCTTTTTCTAGCTGTTGCTATGTCTTTGAATTGGGAGTTACATTAGATGGATGTTCATAATGCATTTCTTCACGGTGATTTAGATGAAGAGGTGTATATGCAGTTTCCTCCAGGGTACAGTACTTCGACACTTCGCAAAGTTTGCAGGTTTCAGAAGTCTTTATATGGCTTGAAACAAGCCCCGAGACAGTGGTTTTCGAAGTTGTCTAGTGCTCTGCGAGGTTTTCGGTTTAAAAACTCATATGCAAATTATTCTCTGTTTAGCTATGTACAGGACAATGTATCTTTGCATGTTCTTGTATATGTCAACGATTTGATTATTGTAGGGTCCTCTCATGATGCTATTGTTCGGTTTAAAGCATATCTGTGCAAATGCTTCTATATGAAGGATTTGGGGCTGCTTAAGTACTTCTTAGGCATTGAGGTTGCTCGTAGTCCGGAGGGTATCTTTCTTTCTCAATGAAAGTGTGCTTTGGATATCTTGACTGAGGCAGGTATGTTGGGTTGCAAACCCATTGACACTCCGATGGAGCAGGATCATCGTATTGCACATGCTTCGGGCGAGCCATTCGCTCATCCAGATTTGTATTGTCGGTTGGTTGGACGATTGGTATATTTGTCTGTCACTCGACCTGAGTTGAGTTATTTGGTGCATGTTTTGGCTCAGTTTTTGAGTGATCCCCAAGTTCCTCATTGGGATGCGGCTATTCGTTTCTTACGCTACCTTAAGGGTAGTCCGGGACAAGGCATTTTGTTGCGACCTATGAAGGATTTACGGTTGACGGCGTTTTGTGATAGCGATTGGGCAGCGTGTCCTTTGACTCAGCGTTCTTTGACAGGTTATCTTGTTTTTCTAGGTCGCTCGCCTGTTTCTTGGAAGATTAAGAAACAACCTACCGTATCTCGCTCCTCAGTAGAAGCCGAATACCGTTCTATGGCAGTTGCTACTTGTGAGTTGAAATGGTTGAAGGAATTATTGTTTTCTCTTGGAGTTGGTCATTTGAAGTCTATGCAGTTGTTTTGTGATCGTCAGTCGGCCTTGGATATTGCTAAGAATCCGGTGTTTCATGATCGTACGAAACATATTGAGGTAGATTGTCATTTTGTTCGTGATGAGTTGTTGATGAAGGGTAATATTTCTACTTCTTATGTTTCGACGAATCATCACTTGGCAGATATTTCTTACGAAAGCTCTTGGACGACGACAATTTGGGTTTTTGTTGCGCAAGTTGGGCATTCGTGATTCGCATGCTCCAACTTGGGGGGGAGTATTAGAAGTCGGTTTGGTTATTTATGTTAAGTGTGTATATTTGTAATGTTTATCTTGTTAGGAGTTTTAGGCAAGCTAGGTCACTTATATATTGTGTATATATATTGTCATGAATATCAATACAAGGGCTAAGCCGTTTTCTTCAATATTTCTTGAGTTTAACAAAGGGAAATATTAAATATACCGTTAAAGTTAAACAATTAAATGAATAATGCAAAAGGGTAAACTGTATTTACTATTCTAAAACCAATATAGTAATGATTTGACCCAAATTAAGTTGAGTTCGATCCCGATCAATTTGAGAATAAATAAATGTTTGTCATAATAATTAAATTGTGATAGACTTGACACAATTGAAAATAAATTCAACTAATTCTTCACTCCAATAAGACTTAAACCAAAATGATGTGATTGACTCATCATCCAACTTCCAATAGATCTCTAAAACGTTGTATTAGAACGATGCTTTTTTGGTCGACCACGTAAATTATAAGAACTATGTATGAACTATGAAGTAATTGAATTATAGCAAAGATTGTATCTAGGATTTTTATTCTAAATGCATTTTGGTTGGTTGATATTTAGTCTATGTTATATCAATAATTTTGAAGGAAATTAAGATACATGTTACAACTGAGGATTAAAACAGCTTTCAACTTTCAAAGGGCCTAATTTGCTAATCCTGGCCGGTGGACATGTAAGAGCTTCCAATTTAGTAGGGTGATACTGTGATACTTTAGGAAACAACCCAAAGATTAGTTACTCATCTTTTTGAAAATTAAGTCCACGTCAAACATTAGTTGCACTATCAATTTCCAAACCAAAACTTGTAACGATCTGTTACTGACACGACCCTACGGGAACCTAACCTCTATGAATTCCAACATTTGGAATAAAGAATGGAACTAAACTATTTTATTCTACTCAAAACTGATCCGGTCCAAAACTCTATAATACTGACCCATAGAAGAACCATACCCAATATCAAATCGACCTATGTGAACTTGACTTGAAACCGAACCGAACCCTTCAGTTGAAGTTCTCGTTACTTGTTTTTGTGGCGCCTTCTCATCCTATATTTAGCTATTGACAGTACAATAGTACACCTCTACATTATTAGATAACACTATAACCTTTTTAATGAAGAGACAGAAACTGCATATGCATTGATGCACACACCTAACATACTCTTTTTAAGTTCATGAGATCCTTGCTTCCACCCATTCACATGTTGATACATCTCCCTTCCTTTTCCACTAATTTATTACACTCACCACTCTCTTGCCCTTTTAAACACACCCCTTAAAAATAAGCTAAACTCTAGCCTTATTTTTAATTTTGTGTTACATTTTTGGTAATTATACTCAAATTGAAACTAACTAAAAAAATGATCCAAACTACTACAAAACCATTTAATAATTTCTATCTCCTTTGTTTATTTTTCACATTACTATTATTCATCGCCTTTGTTGATGGTACGAATTATGTTCGTGAAGCATGTAGTGTTACAAGGTACCAAGACCTTTGTGTTAAATCCTTGGCTTCATACTCAAACAACGCGAAACGGAGTCCTAGCCGGTGGGCACGGGCAGGTGTGTCGGTAACCATATCCGAGGTCAAGGTAGTATCACAATACCTTGATACGACTAAGAAACACGGTCATATTCGAGGAACACGAAACAGGGCTGCTCTGGCTGATTGTGTAGAGTGCATCCAAAGTGCCCTAGACGATCTTCATAAATCACTTGGAGTGTTAAGAAGGTTAAGTAGTGGTGTGTTTAAGGAGCAAATGGGTGATGTTTTGACATGGTTAAGTGCTGCATTAACTAATCAAGACACTTGTATTAATGGTTTCGTTCGAAGAGGCCGGAAAAACAAGCAGATTGCTAGGTTATGTGACAAGGTTCAAAATGCTAGTTATATTACTAGTAATGCTCTTGCTCTTGTTAATAAGCTTGCTACTACAGGATTGCAAGATTTAGGTGATGATTCTTAAGTTTCTCCGTATAATTCGCGGTGTTGTTTGTGGATTAGTTGATGAAGAGATTATGAAGGTAGATAAAAGATCACTTTCAGAGTGATAATGGTACCACATATATTTGTACTATAATGTGTTATACTGTTATAATAAAGCTTTGATAATTGCTTTCAGTTTAGGTATTTATGCATAAATGTGTGTAGAACATATGGTTGCAAATTTAATTTGTTGTCACAAGTGAACAAATCAAGTACTAAAATTGATGGAGTTTTCTGCTGTTTAATTTATGAAGTTCTAAAGGTCTACAATCCATAATTGATTTGCCATTGTTTTTTTTAGAGGTAAGTACTATTAGTTGGTAAATTTTGTGCGTGCTCTTCAGCAAAAAAAAAAAACACTCTAAATTTCTATTGCTGAACAGAATTCATATTTTCACTTACCAAAGTTGCATTGTTAAGTTGTTTCATAAAAATAATAATAAAAAGAAGTCATAAGTTGTTTGACATACATATGGTGCTACAGCTACATAGTACTCTGTACAACATACAAGTAACACAATAAACAAGGGATGTTATAAGCTCATGACACATAAGCTATAATTGTTGTTGCCTTGTATCTAGAATTATTGGTCATACTCAATTACTGTGGTTTTGTACTACTTGATCCAAATCTAAATTATACCCAGAATTGAAATTCAGAGGAAATTAATTTATTGAATTTCAGAGAAAATTAATTCAATGGCTAACAACAATGGAATACCAGTTGAAAGAGTTTACTGATTTCGAAGCTAAGAAACTGGTAACACCAATTAACTATGGTTGAAGCTATCAATCTAACGTCGTCCATTGTGAGTTAAATGACACTATTCTCTGTAACCATCTAATTAACATGATACCCCTTTTTAGCAGTTGGAAATGACAATAATAAACCTAGATAAATATCTCAAGTTTATCTAGGAGATGAAGTGGAGCCTACTCTTATATTTAATTGTGTTTTTATTTGAATTGAAGTAAAACGATTTGAAAAGCTAGCTTATTTGCCGACTGATAATGTTGAATTTGATGACTCGACACAAACAACTACTTAAACTAACATAAACTAATGTCATGATTTATATATCCCCTGAATAGAATTTGAAACTAACCTTTGAAAAGCAACCTAAATGCCACTTCTATAGGGACAAGACTTCTAATGTGTGATTTGATATGTTTTCGTAGAGATATTGTACACCACTTTGAATTCGTATTGACAATATAATTATGGCTAGAATTATAGGTAAATAACAGCAACTTTCATGTAAGCTGAGCAAAATATTGACAACAAAAATTGTCATTAACTATGAGATCGATTACAAGGTTACAACAACTAATGTATGTTAAGTGTATTTATA